TGACAGAGATGGAAGAAATGAGGCCCCAAAGGCTTCAGGGAGACGGAGGCTGCCCTGTTCCTCTTATCAGCTCCCTGTTCATCCTCAGCTCATGAAATGCCCATCCCTAAACAAGTCTCACTGGGCACAGCATCTGCAGGGCAGAACACTTCTGCCCCCAGGCCCTTCCGCTGCATCCACACAATGCTGCCCAGTGTAGCATGTGCCAAATGCTTTTTGGGCCAGGAGCAGTGTTCTGTCCCAGGCTGCCGGAAAAGGTCGTGTAGAAGTGCTGAGGGGGAAGGAGACCAAGGAGGAAAGCCCAACAAGACACAGTGTTGTAAAAGCTGGGGGCCTGCTTGGGCCTCAGCTCATCCTCAATGGAGGGGCAGTAGAAGCAGGTGAAGCAGGAGGAGGGCAGGCCCAAGGGCTGAATTGGCATTTGTACCTGATGGAACAGCACCAGGCCAGGGTGGGAGAGCTCGGGTGTGAGGTGGCCCTGCATCCTTTGGCTTTCCGAGGTTCATTTGTTGGAAGCCACTTGCTTCTGCTGTCCTCAGGGCTGCTCTGCTGCTTGCATCAGACAGGGCCAAGGTGTCCCCTGCCCAGGGGCCCTGAGCCCTTCTCTACTGGCAGGGGACAGGGGCCATGGGCTAGATGCTTCAGGCACCTGGCCCAGAGCGAGGGTGAATTCTCTGCCACTGCCCCAGCCTGCGAGTGCCACTAGACAGGAGCTGTTGGGTGGGCTCTGCTTTGATGGCCAGATCTGTGCAATTGACTCAGGTAGGCAAGTCACACATCTGCCCAGGAGCTCTGAAGCTGTTTTTGTGGTGGGAAATCAAACTGTCTTTTCACGGCCATTGACTGCTCTTTTCCAGTCCCTGTGTGCAGATGTGCCCAGAAAAATCAGAGGAACATGTCCTCACCCCTTCTTCCTGAGATCCTTCCGACAGCTCGGTTCTGTAGGGTGTGCGTGTGCGAGTGTTAGTGCGTGCCTGTGCCTGCTTGTTATTGTGAGCCTGCCTGTAGTGTGTGGTCAGAACTTTGCTACACAGTGTCCTGGCCCATCCCCCGGATCCCTCACTTGGTCAGTCCCTCCCTAGACCCCAGTTGCCCATCCCAGCTCCCCCAAGGCCCTGCTGCTCTTTGATCTTTAAGGGCTGGCTCCAAGGTGGCAAGCCTGGACAACTCCAAGTGGATGTCCAGCCTGCACCTGCCAGTGTGGACTACACCTTGGGTACCCATGGGGTTCTGGAGTGTTCTACATCCCAGGCCACCCAGGTGCAGGTCCTATCTTCTCTTGCCAGGGCTGGGGCCACACTGCTGGTCAGTGGCAGAGTGAAGATGTAACTGGGGCACTGTCTGTGCTCCAGCAGAAGTGGACCTGATGCCTCTCTGCAAGCGCTGGGCATACAGGGCAGGGAGAAGGGAGGGGCTCCGTGACAGTTCCCTGAAGCTTTGCACCACTGCTGACAGGGTTGTGCTCCTGGGAATGGGTGGGAGACATCATGCAAAGAACTGAGATTCCAAAGGGCTTCCCAGAGGTGGTGGCCAGGGGAACAGCCTGAGAGCACAGAGGGAGGAAGATGGGGAGGGAGGGCAGTCAGAGATATCAGAGGTGCCAGGGAGGCCTCAGGCAGTCCACAGAGCTTTGCTCCCTAGCATGCAGCCACTAGACATTTAGATTTGACTTAATTTAAAAAATAGAATTAAAATCTGCCTCCTCAGTGGCTCTAGACACATTTTGAGCTCCCTATAGCCACCCGTGGCCCATGGCTGCAGTGCTGTATGGTAAAGAATGAATGACACTTGCATCACAGAGGGAAGGTCGACCAGCCAGCTGCTGAGGCCACCAAGCACTGCCTCCATGCCGGGCTGTCCCCAGGGACTGAAGCCAGCTCTGCCCACCTAGCATATGAGTGTGGTCAATGCCAGCATTTGCCACCAAAATAATTCTGCCTTCCACAACAGAGTTAATGCCAGGGCTAGGTTAGGGTTAGGGCTGGCTCTGAGCACCGTGTCTGGGCTCAGACACTGCACACGTGAAGCTCCAGAAAACTCACAGGGTGGAAACCTCACTTCCGTCCATATCATTTCCAGTTAAAAGTGACGACAATCTAGGAGAACTGTGTTCTGGGAACGGGCTTTCCTGGGAGCCAGGGCTTCCGGGTTGAATACAAGGGCTTGGTGTTCAGCCTCAAGGGCTCCCATAGAAGCTGCCACCACAGAGCCAAGGGCTGCAACCAGTGGACTGATGAGCCTGCTGTGACCTGTAGTGCTTTAAAAAAAAAAAATGAAATTTTAAATAAATTTCAAATCCAGGAGATTCCACAAAGTCTGGACTCAACCTCAGGAGCTTTACCCAGCAGAGGCCTCATGCTGCTGCCACCAGTGCCCCAGGCCCTATGTGCCATCTCCTCTACTCTCTTGTCTGAGAAAATACACACTGATGGCCAGGACCCCCAGCCCAGCTGGTTAGAGGAAATGTACTTTGTCCACAGTACGCTGTCTGCACTACATTGCACGGAGACTTGGTGCAAGGCCATGGACATTCCCAGCCACAGTCCTCTCCAGCAAGTACCCATAGGTCGTGTGGAATGGTTAGTTCCTGGGGTGTCACCTCCTCCACTGGTTCCTAGAAAGGCTGATGAAGAAATCCATTCTTTTGGGTCCAGTGATGTTCAAGGAACCATTAAGGACAGCTGGGGAGGGGCCCAGCCAAAGTATGGCCATCGCCTGCAGCCTGGACTGGATCCTCCCCGACCAGAAGCCACAGCTCACCACAATGGGTCTCCACGGGGCCTAGCTGTGTCGGGCAGCAACCTCAGCCAGCACTGGGGTTGGGAGCCAAGAGAGGCCTGGCTGAGCTCACCTGCACATCTGGAAGGAAGGACTCAGACCAGGGAAACTGAAGGGTGGGCACATGACTGGGGCAGGGTGTGGGTCTCACTGCTGGGAGCATCCAAGCCTACCCAGAATGACAGTGCCAACTTGTGAAGGACGTGGGACTGGAGCAGGTTGAGACCCAGGCCATGTTTTCCAGCACCCAAGAAGGCGGCCAACACAGGTCCTAAGCTGGAGTTCCCCCGACTGGGTTGGTCTGAGATGTGTTTCCTGGACTGTTGGTCAGAGGCACAGTGGACCCAGATTTCATGACAACAAAGTTGCTGCTCTCTGATGGGATTTTGAGCAACGATAGGTTAACATTTCCAAATTCTTAAAGTCAAACACTTGAAAGAGCCCTATGACTTGTCCCTGTCTCCCCCGGAGTTTTTTGAACACCCCAGAACCTGAGACACTGGGGATATTCAAAGTCTACAGAGCAATGGAGGCCTTCAAAGCAGGTCTGCCTCATCATCTCCATCTATAAAGTGGGAGAGTTGTAGTCCTGAGTTTCCTCTGTCACAGATATACTCCCCATGAGCAGCAAGGACCCAAGGGAGCCAGGTCTCTCATGGTAGCTGCCCTCTAGCTCTTCCCTTGGCAGGGCACCCACCTGCCCATAACTCAGGGACACTGCACTTGGCTGCCTACTCCGGCCAGGCAGGCCTTCAACAGAGCAGTTGGCCACTTGGTACTAAGAAGCCAGGCTCAAAGTCAGAATGGATAGGCACTGGGCATGACATCTCATATCCTATCTGGCTGTTCCCTGAACTTAAAGGGAGAGGCCCAGCACAGTCTGTCCCTTGWCCAAGGCCACCCAAGCAGCAGTAAAGTCCGGAAACCAACCTCCAGCATGCCAGCGGGGAAGCCAGGGCTCCGGGGAGGAGCTGCTGGCCAGTATCCACTGCAGGTGAGGGACCAGGACCCTGCCAGAGCAGCTGGTGGCCCAGCTTTGGGATATCACAGGTGGTGCCTTACTGCTCCAGTGTTTCTGTCTGCGTACCAGCCAGGGAGGGCAGTAGGAATGATGTGGCTCCTCTTTGCTGTCACTGGGGAAAGTTTTGTGAAGGATTTTCCTTTGGAACTGAGGCTGGGAAATGGCTGCATTTAAGGCTTTAAACCAAGACTTCTCAGGACTGCAGGTCAGGATGATATGCTGGGCAGAAAGTGGGCTCCACAGTCTGTGTAGGGCTGAGACCATGGGTCAGACACGCTGGCTACAGGCCTTTACAATGGGAATGCGCAAGGGGACTCCCAGGGGCCCTGTTTCCCAAACTTTAACTTCTCTGATTGAGGACCCCTGAGTGCTGGGACGTCCAGGCTGGACATTCCTTGAGACACACACGTGGAAATGCTGACTTAGCCCTGGACGTATAAGCGAGACTTTTCCAAGAGAACTGTGGGCAAGAATGGAGGGCCCAAAGTCAAGAACAGGAAACAGGAGGGCATTACCCCTGGATGGGGCAGTGGAGAAATTGAAACCCAGGCCCCAGTGCCATATGCCCCTGTGGGACAGAAAACCACACAAAGGAGACCTATGAAGGCTGCCCAGCCTCCCTTTTAGAGGTAACAGTGATCCAGGAGGGCATATCTTCAGACAGACTGTCCCCCAACCTCAACTCAAGCCCACGCCCTGGAGAGGTGTGTGTCTGGTCCAGTTCAGGGCCCTCTCTCTGCAGCAGGGCTGCTCAGAGGCATTGCTTAACCAAGAAGCCATTTGGCAGGAGGTGGGCTCCCAGGGGAGCTGGTTTGGGGAGTACCAACCTCATGGTGCAATGCTCCTGTCCACCCCGGGGCAAGCGCTCCATCTGTCCACAGCTGCTCCTGAGTTACTAACCAGGGTTGGGAGGAGGTGCCCAGCCTCCCAGGCAGAATTTCCACCTGCAGCCCAGGCTGCAGAGGGTAGTGAAGCAGGTAGCAGCTAGGCAACGGTGAGGTCTAAGCACTTATTACCCTTAAGTATACGTATTTAATGGTAAGTTTGCATCATTTAATTTTCAACAGTGACTCTGTGACAACGGGTTAGCAAAATCATCAGACGTTTAAATCAGCTCTGGAAAACTGACATAGTGTGTCCAGCATACAGCCAGGGGTTTTATCAGTGACAAACCCTTTCTGTTCTCCCCATTTTTCTCCAGGCAAACCAGGGAGCAGGAGACGCCCCCCGACTTTTTTTATTTCTCTGACTACGAGCGGCACAATGCAGAGATCGCTGCCTTCCACCTGGACAGGTGAGCCCCCTCCTCCACAGAGCAGCAACTCCCACCTGCACAAGGGAGCCCCCTCCTCTGAGAGCCAGGCACCCATCAAGCATAATTACACAGCTCTGTTAGTGGCCGAGAAGGCACAGGCCTGGCCTCTGGGGTCCACAGTGTATTGTCACTGTCATTTCCCCGTGGCGGTCTCTGCAGTCTGTGTTCAGAGCACCCTACTAGAATTGGTTCTTTTAACTCTCATGATGCCTGGGCGTGGGGCAGACCTTCACACCCCAATTCCACAGACCAGAAAACTGAGGCCCTGAGAGAAATACATACCCAGAGATGGGCCCTTCCACTGTGGCTCATCACCTAGGCAGGTGCTTCCTGTGTGCCCAGCAAGGAGCATCCAGAGGAATGGTAGGTTTGGGGTCTCAGAGAACCCAGGAAAAAGAAAAGCAGGAAAGAAGAGAGGAAGAAGTATTAGAGCCGTGAATTTTAATATGGCTGATCACAGGGTGGGAGTTCTCTGAGGGGAAAAAAGGCTACTTGAAGAAAGTGGTGCCCACAGCAAAACAAGTTGAGGCCTGGTCCCTGCTTCCTGAGGGGCAGCTCTGACCTGCAGGATGCAGCTCATTTTCAGGTTCCCCCTGGCTACAGAGAGGTGGAGGCCACGCACAGGAGCCCCCATGGGATGGTCAGTGTCGGCCCTCAAGGGGCAGCCCACAGTCTGACCCTGGGGTCAGGTTCAAGGGATCTGGAGGTCAGAGAGCACCCATCAGGCAGCAGCAGAAAGGAACTTCTGCATCTGGMGCCTCCTGGCTCCTCTGCAGGGCCTTAGGTGGACAGTAGTGTCACCCCTACCACCATCCCCAACCCCCGCAGCTGGCTGAATGCAGAATCTGGGCCCCACCCCACACCCACAGACCAGGATCTGCATTTTAACAGAATCGGGTGATCCATGTATGATCACAAACCTTGTGTGGTGACTGCAGAAATCTCCAGAAGTTAGATTTCCAACCATTGCATTTTCCCAGAACAGCCCAACCTGAGAGAAAGCCTTTCTGTGGAAAGAACCATGGGGGCTCCCAAGCTGTGAGGTTGCTCTCTAGAAAACATGGACCCCAGTCGAAGTGCTTATAAGACAGGGCAGCAGAGCCCAGGGTATGCCTGCCTGTGGGAGGTGGTGCATGCTGCCACACATAGCCAGCCTGACCCTGGGTCCCAGGTATGCAACCTGTTCCTCCACACCCGGCCACTTCTGCAGAGGACGTCTATGCAGCTATCCTAAGTCCTGTGTCAGCAAGAAACGTTTGCATCCGGCATCTCCATTTAATTAAGCAAGTGGCAGTGCGTGCCRTGGAGCTCAGAAAGAGTTCCATTAAGAGTGGTTCATGTAATTTAATTTAGTTTTAAATTTAGCCCTAGAATGAGGGCATGTTTTAGTTATCCAGGTGCCTGGCAAGGCTGAGGCAAATGCACAAGGACTCGTCCTTCCAGGGTGTGTTCGGCCTGTTGCCGATGGTGCCAGGCAGAGCCACGGCCCAAAGCCGGATTTGAGCGAGGGCCAGGAGAGGCCTGGTTCATCAGCCTCTGCCTGGGCTGCCAGGAATCCACCACAGAGAGTGAAGACTTTTTTTTCTCCGTCCTTCTCTTGCCAGGATCCTGGACTTCCGCAGAGTGCCTCCTGTGGCCGGCAGGATGGTCAACATGACCAAAGAAATTCGGGATGTCACTCGAGACAAGAAGCTGTGGAGAACTTTCTTTGTCTCTCCAGGTAGCTATGCACGGCCCTTCATGGGGCTCCCAACAGGTGACGCCCTTGGTAGCCTCTAGAGAGGGGTCATGCAGAGGCCACTCCTCTAGCCAGCTTTTACTTGTCCTAGGCTGTCCATCTATTGATCCATCCACAAGGCTCCAGAAACCAGAGTTGGGGGTCTTCCTCACTCACGTGCCCTGTGCTAGGCAGGAGGGTTATTTTTACCTCTGTTCACTGTTGGGTTTAGAAGGCAAAGGAGCTCCCTCTCRGATATGCTTAGTCTCTCCTAGTGGCCTTGTCCTCCCTCCTCCCAGACACTCTCCAGCARCATCCACACCTGGAGACAGGCCAGCAGCCCCTTCCCTCAAGGAAGCAACTAGTGAGAGCAGCAGCTCCCCCTATCTGTGCCCCTGGAGGTGGCACAGGTGCTGGACTCTTGGGTGCATCACAGAGATCCTCAGCTCATAGAAGCCCTGACACTTTGCTTGTGAACCCCAAGTGTGCACTGATCACACCCACTCACTCCTGGGCCCTGTTGCTCTAGACCTGGTGACTGGGGCTCCGCTGACCTCACTGTCTGAGCTCTTCCTTGCACTGGGCCCCTGCTGAGCTGCTTCCTACCAATTCTTCTGTGCCTGCTGAGCTCTGGGGAGCCCTCCCGCTTCYGCCCCATTCTTGATGGTGCCCAGTGGTTCCTGCGATGCCAGCAAAGCGGAATGAAGTGGTGGGTGTGTGAACTAGGCCGGCTGGAGACGCTCACACCACAGGAGGGCCCCAGCCACATGCCCAGCTCCATAATTCGTGCACATAAATCCAATTAAGGGCCTCGATTAGCTGTGTCCTAAGACTTGCTGGCACATAAAAGCCAGACCCGAAAGCTCGTTTCCTGATCTGTCTCAGATCAACGTGCGAGGCTGGCCCCGTCTCCTAACTGCATTGGTGAGCTTGTCAGAAGCGAGGCCGGGAATCCATATCCATACGTTAGCCGAGCTTGTTCTTGTCCTCCAGCACACATCTGCACGCTCATCTGCTCTCCTCCTCTCAGAGCCTCCTAATGAGAGAAAAATAGGACAGAAATCCCCAAAGGGCAGAGAAGAATGCTCCCCACTCCCCCGGCCCTCTACCAGCCCCTCCTGACAGAATCAAAGGACCCAATGAGAGCCTGTGTGTTGGCGGGGTCTTTGGGGTGGGTTGTGCTTAAGCCGCCCCAGAGATGGGAGGGTGTCACTCACAGGCAGAGATGGGAGGGTGTCACTCACAGGCAGCTCTCTGTACATGGTGCTGTAAGAAGGGGCCTTCTCTTAGGATTTCCTGCAGGGACCTAAGCTCTGAAGTCCTGGCCCCCCTCAGCCTCAGAGCTTGGCAGCTGACCCTGAGGTTGGCCATGATGTTACTCCTCCATCAAGACACCAACACCACCACTGCCAGCCCCACCTCCTGCCCCACTGCCCACGGGGACACCACCCTGTGGTCCAGGCATGCACACCCTACAGAGACACCACACAGCCCTCTGGCCATGCACACCTGGGAGCTTTGCTACTGGGCAGAAACCAGCAGCACTCAGACCTGTGAGTCTTCTTCATTGTTTTTTTTTTTCTTTATTTTGACTTTTGCAGTGACATTTTTCAAAGGTTCAAAATATTAAGAGAATAACACTCCCCAGGCTTCGGTGCCCACCACCAGGTGAGCAGTTACCAACATTCTTAGACCCAATGCCCTGCATTTCAGCAAGACCTCCTTCCAGGCTCTCAGTTCAGGACAAAGAATGACACAGGTCCAGGGGTAGAGAGGGAGGGGTCCAACTCCCCAGCACCTGGGACACAGGTAGATAATGTCATGAGTCCCGCTGCCCAGCAGGTGCAGGCTCAGCCTCAGGGATGTGGGCAGAGGACAGCCCAGCACCCCACAGCACCRGACCCCAGCTGACAGTGCTAACAGCACTCCCATGGAGGGCTGCTTCTCCTGGTGGCATGGGCAGGTGGGACAAGTCTACTACATGGGGCAGGACTATGCTTTCTAGCTGTCACCCAGCAGTGCTGGGCCATCTCTGGGTGAGCAGGCAGGGAAAGTCTAGGTGACAGGCACAGCAGATAAAGGGCTAAGAGCAGTGCAGCTCCTCCCCAGCTCCAAAGACGGGCCTATGGGGTAGGTTGTCCTTGTCCTGCTTTTAGTTTTATTGAGGTGCGTTGGCCTATGGTGGTAGGTACAGAGCATTTAGCCAGCTGAACTTGGAGGCTCTGAACGCCAATRCTGTGGCGCCCTCTACCATCAGCACAGGACCTCACATCCAGGCCCCCTGAGCTGCCTTGCATGTCCCCAGGAGCAGCCACCCCCCGTGGTGTGAAGCACCTGGAGGCTCAATTCATAGCTTTTGCTTCTGTTCCATCACCATCCTGACTCCAAGGTTCACCCACGTTATTTGCATCTCTGGAGATTGTTCCATCTGTGTGGAGGACTGTGCCTTGGGGAGATGTGTACATTCTGCTGGTCCATTCACCTGTCCACAGGCATCAGATGGATCTGCTTAAGTAACTTGCTCAAGACCAAGCAGGGGAACTGGGGTTTGAGGATATAGGAAAGGGGAAGCTAGAGGTTTCCATGCTGGGCATCACTTCCCCGCTGATGGGCAGCAGGTGGGGTGTGGGGTGCAGCAACCCAAATGGCTCCCAAGGACGAAGCCACTGAAGCTGCTGAAGCCACCCACYCCAGAATTTTCAGTACCAACGGATTTAGGTCATTATCTAAAGAGAAGGACTGTGGATTTTTGTGTGTTTGTTTTTAAACAAAAGCCTGAGCCGCTTCTTAACCTAAACAGATAAATCAAGATCTTCCCACTTCCCTCTTTGGTTAGTGTTTGGTCCCCCTCCTGGCCCTCAGCAGGGAGCTATCCATTCTGAGTCCCAGGAGCTCCCCATAGAGGCTGCTGGTGACACTGCTGAAATCCCTCCTTTAAATGCCTCACCAGGGCTGCCGGGGACCAGGGACTCCACAGCAGACATGTGCCCTGGCTTTTTTTTTTTTTTTGGCTTTCAGTGACATTTTCTGCCAGCTGCAGATTCACCCAGGATACTCCAGAAGCTCCCTGATGGCCCCAGGCCCCAGTGGCTCATTGCACCTGGACAATGCGCTCTCGAACTCTGCGCCACTTCAGAGTGCAGCCCCCCGGGATCCCACCCACTCCTGCGCCATGTGCTGCTCTCAGCGTGATTCTTCCCAGAGCCTTTGGGAACRTGTGGCTTCCTCTGGAGCAGTGGGGTCTGGGAGCCAGCCTTGACCTCATTTTAGAAAACAAAATCTGCTCAGAGTCATCAGTATCACTTCTGCTTTGCTTGCACTTCCCGACCCACCCGATGCTAAAATTGTCATCGCTGCTTCACTAGGAGCCAAGTCTCCCGGGGCAGAGGACTGCCTCTGGGTTTGGTCAAGAAAGAGAAGACCCCAGGTGGCCAGGAGGACAGTCTAGACAATAGAGGAACAATAGTGGCCCTCAAGTCCCAGGGTCACTGCAGGAAGGAAGCGGGCTACAGCCCTCGGTGAGCCCAGGCATGGTGGGGTCTGTGGAAGTCGAATTCAGAGAGGGCAGTTAAGTGCCTGATACCACACAGCTGTGGGCAGCACCAGGTCAGAGCCCAAGACTCTAAAGCTCCATATGCTCAAGGAACATGTTCCCTGGCCTTTTCTGTAAATTTCTGCAAGGTGGATGCTTCTGTGTGGCCTCCCCCATGCAGGATACAGGTCATGGGCAGCTCTCAAAGCCCCCAACTCCTTGGGGCTTTGCAAAGCATAGAGATTTTACCCAGGATTAAATTGGCCCTTTTTCTTCCAGACTGGCCTGAGTTTGCCCAGATGGTCATCAAGACTGTCCACACAGTCCCATTCAAATACACACTGAGGAAGAATGGGGCTTCCGACATGGGTCTTCTGCCAGCAGCTAGAGGGTCATCCCTGTGATAGGCATGTCCACTGCCCTGTGCAACGTGGTGGTCTTCATTCCAGGATGGGTGGTCATGTCACCTCCTGCATGGTGACCCACATCCTCCTGAATCAACCTCCATCCCTCAGACAGGCCCATCCTGGACCTTGCACATGCAGGCCAGGACTTTCTGGGTTCATGAGGAGAGCTGTGTGCTCCTGGCCCCAGGTCAGGACCAGGCCCTGGGAGCCCATGTCCACTGCACACTATCGGAGGGGCCCTAGCCTTCCCCTAGCTCTCTGTCTACTAGAGCTACTAAGTGAAAAGTATGCCCACTTACCCTCAACATGGGGCAGTCCTCTCTGCTGCATGGTCACCTTCTCTGGACTTCACATAGCTGCCTTATGTGATCCTTCTCCCAGGCTGCGGGCACAGCTCAACCCTCACACACAGGTGAAGAGCTGAGCAGAGATGTGTGCTGCTTCACCCAGGTCATGCAACTGGAAGGAACCCTGACTTTCAGAGCCCCAACCCCACCCTAGATGCCCTTTAGAGCTGGTGAGGAAGGATCCTTGCCCTCTTCAGGTGATACTGTCTAGAACTGGCTTAGGAGGACGTAGCTGTCCACATGATCAACTTTCATGGCACCCTGAAAATGAATTGACTTGTGTCAGCAGCCAGAGCAGTGCAGCTGATTCCCCCAAGATGGACCTATGGTAATTATCCAGCTTTGGTGCTGTGGTGGAGGCCAGGAAGGGGAGAGGCAGGGGGCAGCTCATGGGGAGGACAGCAGCTGGGACATCCTGTGTTCCTAGGCCTGCAGCTGTGCCAGCACCCTCCCCTCTCTCCATCCGCCCCCCTGTGACCCTCACTGGCCACTCTCCTGACCCTGTGAGTGGGAAGGAACAGGGAGCCAGGCAGGGCCCCTCCTGCTCCACCAGAGGCTTCCTCCCTGTCTCCACAACCCGATGYGTGTGCAGGTTTCTCCACCAAACAAGTCAGAGCATGAAAACACAGATTCACTCAGTAAACAAATACAAGCATAGGGCAGACCATCCATAGGCTATGATCAGCATGCGGCCATCCCAGAGCTCCCAGTAGGAGTACCGTAAACCACGACAGCAAAGAGCTTGGAGTTTTTAAACTTTTAATTGAGGTATAATTCACATGCCATAAAACTCACCATTTCAAGGTGCATGATTCAGTGGTTTTAGTACATTCACTATATTGCCCAATCCCAGAATTTTTCCCCCACCCCAGAAAGACCCCAGAGCCTGCCCCAGCACTTGAGATGCCCCTGAGCCCACGCGTGTGGCCTCCCCTGCCTGGCTTCTCTCACTGGGCAAGATGTTATCATGGCTCGTCTGCAGTGCAGGCTCTCAGCACTCTGTTCCCTTCCAGGGATGGATGATACTTGGTTGTGTGAAAATCCTATATCTTGTTTAGCTGTTGGTCAGCTGGTGGCTTTGGGGCTGAGTTCCTGCTGTGAGCAGTGCTGCTGTGAGCACATTCAAGCAAAGGGTGGGAATATATTTCATCTTTCTTAGGTAGATGCCTGCAGGTGGGGCCKCTAGGTCACATGCTAGCTCCTGTTTAACAAGCACCTGTGCACATCACTGCCCCCAGCAGGGCACTGTGGTTCCAGTGTTCCRCATCCTCGTCAGCCCTTGCAATGATCAAGACCATTCTCGTGGGGCTGGGGATGTGGCTCAAGCGGTAGCGCGCTCGCCTGGCATGCGTGCGGCCCAGGTTCGATCCTCAGCACCATATGCCAGCAAAGATGTTGTGTCCGCACCACATACCAACAAGGGTGTTGTGTCCGCCTAAAAAAAGAAAAAAGAAAGAAAGAAAAAGACCGTTCTCGTTGGTGTGAGGTGTTTTCTCCTTGTGGATTGGGTTTGGATTTCTCCAATGACCACTGAGGAGCATCTTTTCATGAGCTCATTGGCCACTTGTATATCTTCTGTGGGAAAAGATCCATTCAAGTTCTTTGCCCATGTATTAATTGGATTTTTTATTATTGAATCATACAAGTCCTTGACATACGCTAAGCACTACATCCCCATCAGCTTTGGGATTTGCAAAGATTCTCCCATTTTTGTGGATTCTCTCTTTCTTCATGGTACAAATCATTCTAGGGACTACTGAACAGAGAATCTGGAGTTTCCATGGACTGCAACCCTTGGATTCTGGGGCAAGGAGAAGCCAGCCAGCTCCGACCTCAGACTCCAGGGCTGCGGGGCCGAGGAGCCCACTGCAGGGTTGACTCATGGCCTGGGGCTGGAGGTGATCACTGAGGCCATGTGAACTTGGGAGTGAGTCCTGCCCTTAAGAAGCTCCAGGCAGAGCCCTGAAAGGCCAGGGGTGGCACGTGGGGACAGCTGTAAGTGATGGGGTCTGTCTCTCCCACCAGCCAACAACATCTGCTTCTAYGGGGAGTGCTCCTACTACTGCTCCACAGAGCACGCACTCTGTGGGAGGCCAGACCAGATAGAGGGCTCCCTGGCAGCCTTCCTGCCGGACCTGTCCCTGGCCAAGAGGAAGACCTGGCGCAACCCCTGGCGACGCTCCTACCACAAGCGCAAGAAAGCAGAGTGAGTGCGGTGCTGGGCCCCGGGCACCTGGGATGACTTTGTCCACTCTGCGACTAGGACACCAGGTCTGGGAGGGCTTTTGGTTCTCATGACATGGGACAGGGGGGGGGGCAGGGCCAGCCATGAATCCAACCCTGTGTAGCATGTACGATGCACAGTGGGCTAGGTGATTGGGAAGGGCCCTAACCTGAGATTTAGAAGCCCCCAAGGCACTGGCCTTACCACTGGGTCCTTCAAAACATGACTTAGTATTTGCGCTTGGCCCTTGCTTCCAATTCCTCTTGTTCCTTACGCAGAAGAAACACATCCTGCTCTCTCAGCCAAGGTATCCTGATAAGTGCAATGTCCAGGCACTGTTTCTAAAACAGTGAATCTCAAAAACACAGTACCCAGAGTTTGATAGTAGCTTCAGGCCTGGCGGGGGCCTCTTCCAGGATCATGATCACCTCCCAGCCCCATAATCTTATTAATGCAACCTCATAGCCCACAGCCAAGGCACGTCTCTCTGTGGGCACTTGGCCCACATCCCAGAGTGGCCCCACTGGCTCGTGCTGTTCTGAGCCCTGCAGCCCTCAGAATTTTCCCTCGGCCTCCCTATCCGTGGAGGAGTTCCCCTCACCCTGGCTCTCCTGCAGGTGGGAAGTTGACCCCGACTACTGTGAGGAGGTGAAACAGACTCCGCCCTACGACAGCGGCCACCGCATCCTGGACATCATGGATATGACCATCTTTGATTTCCTCATGGGTATGTCCCATGGGATGTGCTGTCCCCTGGGGATGCGGGGCCCAGGTCCACCTGTGCCAACCCAGAGCTCCCAGTGGACCTGCCTGGCACCTTACTAGTTATGGTTCTGCGGGGTTGTGGCCCTGGAGGCYGTACTTGGGGTGGACAGGAGGCGCCTCTCTCAGCAGGCCAGAGGCCTCTGAGCACCTGTGCTTATCCCCGCAGGCAATATGGACCGCCACCACTACGAGACTTTCGAGAAGTTTGGAAACGAGACATTCATCATCCACCTGGACAACGGAAGAGGGTGGGTCCCCTCATGTCTAAGAGCCCAACAGGCTGGCCACCTCTGCCCTGTGGGTGGCCTAGCCCAGAGCAGGAAGAAGCAGGCCTTGGTGATAGGGGCGTCCCAAGCCCCATCCRTGTGTGAAATACAGGCCTCCATTCAGAGGCAACAGGGTCCCCATCACAGGGAGGGATGGCAGTTGGCCTTGACAGGTGCTGGGTTTATGACAGTAACCCTGGGAGGTGTGTCCCATTGTCCCCTTCTGTTGCCCCAGGAATATAGGCCCAGACAGGCTCTATCTGGGAGAGAGTGGCCCCCAGTTAGCAAGGCAGGAGGATATCCATTCCAAAAAAGCTGCCCAGCCTGTGCAGCCCACTAAGGACCTGACGGTTGTGCTCTCTCACGGCAGGTTTGGGAAATACGCACACGACGAGCTTTCCATCCTGGTACCTCTACAGCAGTGCTGCAGGTAGGGCCCAGGCCTCCCCTGGAGGCGCAGGCCCAGATCTCCCCACTTCCCTGCGTGACACAGGAGACAGGCRTCCATACCTGGTGGCAGCCCACAGCCACACCATGGCCATCAGCTCTCTGCCTACCCATCCACAACCCCAAGCTCCAGGGACCCCCACAAGGACCTAGGCTGGCTCCTGTCACCACAGCCCTGTGAAGCTGCCAAGCCCCAGAGCAGACACTAGCTTAGAACCAAGGACCCTGCACCCCAGCAGCAGCTACCAGACCGTCCCCCTGCCCCTCCCACAGTTGGGGACAYGGGCTTACGGGGCCAAGTGGTTTGTGCTTCTCTCAGAAGACATCTCAGGATCCATCCACCCAGGTCCAGCCAGTTGGGTGAGCTTGCCTGTGTCTGCCCTAGGGCCCAGGGTGCCTGCCCACATCCCTGCAAGGTGGGGCCYGTCCACATGCAGGTGAGAGGCAGGGCCAGTGAGGTACCCATCTCGGATCTGTCTGTCTCTCCCTCTGCCTCTCTCCATCTCTCTCTGTCTTTTTCTCTTTCTCGGTCTCCATCTCTCACACTTTCTCAGCTTTCATCTCTCCCTCCAGGTCTCTTTCGGCCTCTCTTCCCCCCACCCCTCCCCTGGGGCCACCTGCCCCACCCCCAGCCCATGCTCACAGCCCCCTCTCTGCAGGATCAGGAAGTCCACCTACCTGCGCCTGCAGCTGCTGGCTAAGGACGAGTACAAGCTGAGCCTGTTGATGGCTGAGTCTCTKCAGAGGGACAGGGTGGCGCCCGTCCTGTTCCGGCTACACCTGGAGGCCCTGGACCGGCGGCTGCGCATCGTGCTGCAGGCTGTGCGTGATTGTGTGGAGAGAGACGGGCTACGCAGCGTGGTGGAGGACGACCTGGACCCTGGGCACAGAACCTCCACTGAGAGGTAGTGACCTGCACCACCCACACTGCCCACCCAGGAGCATGGCTGCACATGCCACATCATGATTCCGTGAAGTCGTGGACAGGACAGGGTTGTCACTGCAGTGACCTGCCGCCCAGTGGCGCAGACTCCTGAGGGGCTCCAGCAGGACACTTCCATGCTTCTCCAAGACCCAGGACAGGCAGGATGTGCTGCCTGTGGCTGCAGTAGAGGCCTCCGGTCCTTTTTGTGGGAAAGGAAGGCTATTTCACTGTTTTATATTTACGTAAGGTGCAATGTACCAAGGGAGGGACGTCTGCACGGGCCATGGTCACCTCCAGCCCTGCCCGAGGGCTCTCTCCTGGTCCTGTGTGGCGCCTGCACTCTGCACCTTCTCTTTCTGCTCTTGCCTCCCACGCCTCCGCATTTAGAGGTTGGAGAGACCCTTTGGGGATGAAGGGGGTTCCCGGTGGATGTCAGGGCCTGCGTGTGGACAGATGGACACCCGAGTGTGAATGACCAGTTACTCCAGGTATCCAGCAGTGGCCCTGCCCCTCCCCGTTGCAGCAGGCACCACTGACCCACGGCTTTGCTCTGGACAGTTGGTATGAACGTCACACRGGTCCTCAGGGGCCACAGCAGCAGGCCGACCTTCCCGGCATCTTTGTGGAGTAGTTTGCGATGTGGTAAAAGTGCAATAAAGATACGGCAAGCGTGTATTTTCGGCCTCACTAGGGCAAGGCCCTCACACCCTGGTGCTCAGCTGCCCGCCYGCCAGTCCTCCCAGAAGGTAAGGCCTGAAGCCAGACATGACCAAGGCCCAGCATGCCCGATGCCCATGTGGCCCAAAGCCCAGAGCCTGCTGCCGGGGAGCCGCCTGCCAAGCCCCGGGATAAACAGGCCGGGTGAGGCCTGCACTCCCGAAARCAGGGATGGGCATGAGGAGAGGGCAGGGCAGCTGCAGAGCCCTCTGAGGACTGGGTGGAGATCACTGAGGCCACAAGAGGCCCAGAGGGCCACACCCTGTCAGGCAGACACACCGTGTCTCCAGCAGGAACCACTCCAAAATGGGGGCAGCTGAGAGAGGCCTCTTCCCACTACTGGCCCCAGAACCTGAGACCCACCAGGCCAAGCCTGCAGGGAAGGCCTAGCAAGTCTACAAGTCTACCCAGGGAGCAGGTCGACAAGCAGATGTGACAGAGACTCACCCCAGACCCCCACACTTCCAAGCCATGAGAATCCAGAGGTCCTCCTCCTGCCAGGTGCTTCCTTGCCYGTCACCCTGCCGGCTACTCAGCACTCTGTGCTGAGGGAGGCTCCCTGGGCCCTGGGCCCCGGGAGGCAGACTACCAGGTGGCTGCTTCTCCAAAGCCACATTGCACTGGTTTGAATCTTCTCATTTCACAGGTGGGGAAGAGGCCCAGAGCAGGGAAGACAAGCAGTAAGGCAGGTTAGACTCCCAACACGGCAGAGCCAGAGCYAGAAATCCCTAAAGACCAGGAGGGGCACAAGGCCCCTGGACCCTGAGCGAGGCTGGGCTCAGATGTGGGCTTCACACAGCCAACCAGTAAATGGCCTCAGACTGACAGATCTTTAAAGGAAATAGCAGGATGATAAAGGGGTCCCAAAGCCTGCCTCCCATCCTGTCAGCACAAGGTCCAGTGTCCCCACAGTGTGGGAAGCTCCACCCCCCCTAGCTTCCTCTAGGCCAGCCCACTTCTGCCCAGAAGAACCAGTACAGCCAAAATGCATTCAAGTCCCCACCTCAGGCTACTGGGGACTGGGATACAGGTGTCAGCCACGAGCTGGAAGCCAGGCTATCACCTGTCCTGGGTCACACACCCAGGAGTCACAAAACATCAGATTGGGAGGGGCTGTCACTAGGGCCCCCTCCCAAGTCCTCTATAGGTCCACAGGACAGTTGGGCTGTGATGTGAGAGGTCACAGGACAGCAGAGCAGTCCGAGGCACAGATAAACATGCGCTCAAGACCAAATGAGGCCATTTGGTGGCCGCACCAGGTCAGCCCAGCACAGAGCCTACAGGGCCTAGGGAAGTTAAGATGCTAGCATTTTTGAGACAACTGATATAACTGAATTAGCATTTCAAAAGATCTCAAGGGGCCAGGTGCAGTGGCACATGCCTGTAATCCCAGCAGCAGGAGGATCATGAGTTCAAAGCCAGCCTCAGCAATAGCAAGGGGCCAAGCAACTCAGGGAGACCCTGTCACTAAATAAAATTCAAAATAGGGCTGGGGATGTGGCTCAGTAGTTGAGTGCCCCTGAGTTCAATCCCCAACACAGAAAAAAAAAAAAATCTCAAGGTGTTGGGCTGATGGAGGTTGATCTCAGGGGCTTGAACCACTGTAGCCTTCTGCATGCTCGGTCTGCCCTGCCCACTGCAAGATGGCTCTGGGATGTCTGGGCTGGCCATTAAAAAAAAAAAAAATTATCATGAGGCACACCCTGGCCATCCTTGGCTGGGGCAAGGGGACAGCCTGAGAGTAGGGGAGAATAGCCAGGGAGGACAGTGTACAGAAGGAGCCCTGCCCAGCAGAACAAGCCAGTATCCAGCAGGCAGGTTCCTTGCTGCTGACTGTGAGCCAACAGCAGGAATCCCCAGCCACCTCAGAGTCCTTCTGGAGAGCACAGAACAGAATGAACAGGTCAGTGACACCCAGAGACACGCACAAGACAGGGAAGAGTTTGGGTGCCAGAGAACGGGAAGGACTCTTGAAGCATTATGATAAGGAGAGACCCGAACAGGAAGAAGAAACTATAAGGAACAGGAGACGAAATCGCGGAAGTCCCCAAAGAAGGGGGCCAGAGGTAGAAACAGAAGGGTGAGCAATGTCACCAGAGGATGCCTAGGAGCTGCCTGSATGTGGCCTTCTCCAGGGCCATTCCAGGTCTGCTGGGTGATGGAATGATTCCTTCCAAGTGCCACCAGACAGCCTCATCCCCAGCACATCAGAGTGGCCATGAGGGTGGACAGACATGCTCAGCAAACATTTTGAGCACAGTGCAAAGCTGGCACCAGAGGACAGGTCCTCCAAAAGCAGGACCTGATTCGGGAATGCAAAGAGGCAAAGGGTCAGAATGACAATGATGGAGGTCCCAGGAGACTCTGCTATCCTGGTGCCGTGGACAGATGGGACACCAAGGGCATGATGAACAGAAGGAAACACAACTCTGCTGGAGAGACACAGGAGCCCTCGGCAAGGTCAGCCGGGAAAGAGCACCTCCCACGCCCCAGGAAGCAGAGGCCACCCAAGAAAAGACCAGCAAGTCAGGCCACTCGCCACCCGCTGGGGGGATCTGCTCAAGACCCTTCCAGCATGGAAGGTCGACAGACGTGGGGTGAAGCTGAGACAGTGCAGCCGAGGCCTGTCGTTTAGACACAGGAAGGCAAATCCCCAAACAGCAAAACACCCGGGAAACTTGCAGACATGGACGTTCTCCGGGCTTGGCTGGGGGAGGGGACTGTCTTCTTGGCTTCATCTAGGGTGTCATTAAAGACGTTGAACKCTATGATCTATTGCTTTGGTACAAATTCAAACGAAACTCTGACTACACTGGGCAGAGGTAGAAAGAGTCAGCCCCGGCCCCGGTGCTGGCTGCCAAGTGTCCCCAGCAGCCCCCATCTCCTGTTCTCTCTGCTCCTCACCGTTGCTCTCCAGGAAGAATCACTGTCCTGTTGAGCCATTTCACAGTTTTGCAAACTGAGGCACCAATAGGTAAAGTGGTTCCCTGGGTTCAGCACACAGTGAAAAACCCCACCTTCCCACCACCCAGAACCCTGTGCTCTCTCCCAGTCCTCAAAATCAACCCCCCAGGCCTCCAGGATGGCACGAACCTGCAATGCCAGGCAGCAGAGTGAGCGTGGCTGAGGGAGCAAGACCTGACTGGAGCCCAGGCCAAGAGAGGAGCAGCTTCAACAAAACCCCCCAGGGCAGGCCCGAGGTGCTTCCATAGATGGCCTTCCACCAGAGCAGCCTGAGAACAGAATGCAGTAGAATTCAAGCAAGACTTTTAGAAAATGGGAGGGGACCTCCTCAGTAGATCTGGGCTTTATTTTGCAGTGTCCAGGAGTGAGCAGAGGGAGGCAGTGGCATAGAGGGCTCCTGCCCAGGCTGGCATCCCACCTCCTGGCAGAAGTCACAGGGCAGCTAGAGCCGTGGCTCCTTCTCCCCGAATTAAAATAAATAAATGCACAAACAAATACATACCTGAGGCTCACTATGACCTCTGCCCTATGGGCAGAATGGGCCACCAGACTGCTGGTCTACCAGCTCCCACCCCAGAAGTACCAACTGCCCTTCAGGTGAGAGCAGAGGCTTCTGGGCCTCTGGTAGGCAGAAGGGCTGCAGCCCTGGGTCCCTGCACCCATGTGCCTGCACTCCAGTCACCTCGAGGGCTAAAGAGCCCAGATCTCAGCATCCCCTACCCCCTATGCAATCCTTCACTGCTCCTTGGTCCCTTGCTGAGGCTCCTGGGCTCCCCTCAGGGTCTCATTTCCCCAGACAGGTGGAGCCTCACTTCCATCCACCTTGAACAGACACACCCTCCATACCTTGCCCATGCCCACCCAGTTCCTACGGAACCTCTCCCAAGTGCTGCCTTCAGGAGATTCCCAGGGAGATGAAAAGAAGAGATAGGGGGGGACCCTTTGCTGTCCAGGTGGAGAGAGGGGAAATGGGGAGACTGACCCAGGCTGGACCACAGCAGAGCAGAACTCCAAGGCCTCCATTTCAGAAAAGCCTCATCCTGGTGAGAACCGGCCTCCAAAGAAGGAAGGTGCCTGAGGCCAGAGAGCAGGTAGACAGACCCCAGCTGTACAAAAGCATCCTTTACTGGGACTTAGGGACAGAGGTATGGCCTGGCTCCCAAGCCAGGAGGACAGGTTTCTGTACCCAGCCAGATAAAGCTGGATAAGRCCAACCAGGAAGGTGCTGGCTTCTATCTAAATTTGTCCACCTGTCCAACCCAGGTGTCAGTGACAGTCCACCACCCAGCTGACCAGTGTTGGTGCTGGGGATTGAACCCAGCGCCCTGTGCATGCAAGGCAAGCACTCTACCCACTGAGCTACATCCCCAGCCCACAGCTGACAGTGTTGAGACAGCACTCGGGGTCTCTGGTGGGCAGAATGTCTCCTGCACCCATGTGGGGATCCCTGTGGGACAAGAGCCACTTCCTGCAAGGTGCCCCCTCTAAGAGGCAGCTGTTCCTGCCCTGAAGCTAGCYGGGGAATGAGAATGGAGCCCTGGAGAGGCCTGGAAAGGTGTAGGGTAGGTTATGTAGGAGATGGGACCAGGCGGGACTGTCCCCAGGCTGGGCCAGGTCAGGGCAACCCCAAGAGGTTATCAAGGGGCTGGGGTCAGCCAGCCTCCTCAAAAAACATCCATTACACCCTGCCTGCCCAGGGTCCCCACCAGGTGTCTCCCAAGGCCATGGGAGGCCAGGTCGAAGGCCCCTCTCCCACCTGTTCCCCAGCACCATCTAGAGGAGGGCTGGAGACAAGCAAGAGCTGACCTCAGCAGGCACTGGCTGCTACCCAGCCAGGGCCCTCCAGCCTAGTCCTCCCCTTGTCCAGGGCTTCAGGTACCCACCAGCCTCTCACCACCAGGCCTAAAGCCCTGGCCAGACCCTGCATTATCCCACAGGACCTAGAACAGTCCTGACCCCCTCAATGCCTGTGAATAAATGTGTTCTCAAAGGCWCAATGCTTAGTGAGTGCCAAGATGTTCTGAACACAACCCAGCAATGAAGACTTGCAGACACTCTCCCTCGACACGAACAAGGAGTTGGAATACATCTGGAGGGCAGTGGAAGCTAACCTCTGGAAGCCTTCGAAGCCACCACCTCCCTGGCACCACAGGGCCTTTGCACGGCTGGGAGCTGTCTACCCTGCACCACCTCTTCACCTTGTTTATTCCCATTCAAAGCGCCCCTCAAACTTCCTAGGCTGGGCCACTCCCACCCGGCTGTGCACTCCCTCACACTCAGCTCTCAGCTTCATCTTGAGTGCATCTGTAATTACATGCCTATAATCTTGAGATTCCTCAGACAGCATCTGCTGCCCTAGTGGACTGGAAGCTCCATTACACACGCACCACTCTGCTTTGTGGCATCCCCAGCCTGCAGGCTGTAGCCCATACAGCGTATATAGCCCGTACAGCCGTAGGTCCCCTGGGAATATGCTGAAGGGCAACCCTGTGGGCCTGGTGCCTCCTGATCCTCAGGCTCACCTTCTGTCTCTGCACAGATTCCTGGGCCCCAGTGAGGCACAGAGGCACCAGCTTGGCCTGAGCCCTTGCAGTCTGGGGAGCCCACATGTTCTCATCCTGGAGCCCCATCATTGACTGGCTCAGTTCCACACCCCCTGCAACCTCTCTGCTGGTGTTGGAGGTGCTTATGTTCCTGGGTGGGTACTAGTCCCAGGAACACCGGGGGGCATGCAGGCCATAACTCCAGCCCCCTGCAGCCAGCTGACACTGTCCGAACACAATGGCATTCCGTCTCTTTTCCAGGTCACAGTCGGCTTTGCTTGTAAGCTTTCTGTGAAGTCTTAGGATGGGAAACACCTGTCTCCACCCACAGTGAAGCCTGGTTTCACTCATAGGAGATGCTGTGCATCAGATAAAAAAACTCAGTGACCTTTGGAAGAGAAAGTGACATAGACAGGAATTAATAGATCGTGGTGGGCCCAGCTGATGCAGAGAAACATCTAACTACTGGTGAAATTGAAGCCAGATGTCCAGGAAGTACAAGGTCCCCATGGTCATCCCCAGGTGGGGAGATCCCTATGGGCATCTCCAGGCAGAATTCTGGCTTGAGAGAGTCCTATAGCATCCTGGACGACAGCAGCCAACCCCACCCTGAGCATGGACAGACCCCCAGCCACAGCCATGAGTGTGTGAATGCAAAGGTCCCCAAGGCAGGGCCACTGCACCAGGCCCGCATGCCTCTGGTGTCTGGCTGGGCCTACAGCCGTGGTTCTATTTATCAGCTCTAATCACTGCCAGTCACCTGCCGTGTAGAGTCTTGTCATTGGTGATAGCAATGGGACAGGGACAACGCCGTCTCTGTCTGCAGGGTGCCATCCCAGCAAGAAGCCCAATGGGGGACAATACACAGCAATAAGGGGGCCACCCATGGAGAGTCAGCCCCAGTGGGTTGGG